TCTGTGCACAGTGGCAGAGACTAACGCAAGCACATTCCCAGAACTATTATAGGCCTATAACCACTTTCGTCTGTGGCAGTCGAGTTCACACACAGACACACACACACAAGGACACAGTTAGACGAACACAGTTAGACACACACAAATAGACACAACCACAAACATAACCAAACACACACAGGCACAGGCGCACACAACCAGACACAAGAACACACACACACACACACACACACACACACGCACACACACACACGTAAACACAGGTACACGCACACACAGACACACACACACTCGCAGACAGCCACACACACAAACACAGACACACACACACACACACAGACAGCCACACACACAAACACAGACACACATACAAGTAGACACACAGACACACATAAAGACAGAGGCCTGATAGCGGTCCAAAAAGTGTTTAAGGCCTACAAGCACCTTCGCATATTTTTGTGCCCGAGGCCGCACACAGACACAGGCACAAACATACACTCACAGGCACAAACATACACTCACAGGCACACACACAAGAACACAGGCACACAGACATACACAGACGTTCAAACAGAGACACACACACACACAAACAGAGACACACACAGACACACACACAGACACACACACAGACATACACACAAAAACACAGGCTTGAAGTGATGATAAGTTTTCCCAAGAAAATCACAGGCCTTTAATCACTGGTAGACACATACACAAAACACAGGCACACAGACACACACACACAAAGACACAGTTAGACACACACAGATACACGCACACCGACACATATAACGACAAAGACGCACACAATCCGTGTCTATGTTCGTATGTTTTTTTGTCCACTGCACACGAACACAGACACAGCCCGTGTCTGTGTGCGTCTGTCTTTTTGTGTCTGTTTCCGTACCTGTGTCTGTCTGTGCACAGTGGCTCAGACTACAGCAAGCACATTCACAGAACTGTTGTAGGCCTTTAACCACTTTCGTCTGTGACAGTCGAGTTCACACACAGACACACGCACACAAGGACACAGTTAGACACACACAGACAGACATGCACACACACACACGCAAACACAGGTACACGCACACACAGACACACACGCACACACACACACACGCACACACGCACACGCACATACACACGCAAACACAGGTACACGCACACACAAACACACACGCACACACACACACAAAGGCACAAACATACACTCACAGGCACGCCCACAAGAACACAGGCACACAGACATTCAGACATAGACACACACACACACAAACAGAGACACACACAGACACACACACAAAAACACAGGCTTGAAGTGCTGAAAAGTTTCCCCAAGAAAATCAAAGGCCTAAAATCAATGTTAGACACACACACAAGAACACAGGCACAGAGACACACACACGAACACAAGAACAGGCTTGTATTGTCAAAAAGTTTCCCCAGAACCAACACAGGCATTAAATTACTTTCGCCTAAAGACACAGGCTTGTATTGTCAACCAGTTACCCCAGACGCACACAGACACACACAAACATAAAGACATAAAGACACAGGCTTGTATTGTCAATCAGTTTCCCCAGACGCACACAACCAGACACACAAGAACACACAGACACACACACACACACACACACACACACACACGCAAACACACGCCTGCCACACACAGAGAGGCACACAGACACACATACACACACGCAAAGACAGCCATACACATAAACAGAGACAGACAGACACACATGAAAACAAAGGCCTGGAAGTGGTCCCAAAAGTGCTTATGGCCGACAAGCACCTTTGACTTGCCTGCCACACACACAGACGCAAACAACGACGCACACACAGACACACACACACGAAGAGCAACACACACAGACACACACGGGCACAGGGAGACACACACGGGCACAGAGACACACGGGCAAAACAAGCAGGGGTGCTAGGGCCCTGTAACCAGTCTTACGGTGGTTGACATTTGTTTTGGATTGCTCTTTGCGTGCAGTCCATTCGTGACGATGAAGACATCCCGAGGCGCGAGGGGTGCGAGCAAAGGGAGGAGTGCAAGAAGAACTGGCACAGTGTCTTCTCGGGGGCAGCCGGCGTGCTCCGAAGGGGTTGTGCAGCAAAGCCGGTCACCGGAGCAAGATGATTTTCCCCAAATGGGAGAAGGAGATGAGGATGAATATGTTTCAGAAGAAGGAGAGTTCGTGGCAGGAGAAGGCGTAGGAGAGGAAGAGGAAGGAGCGGGAGAGGAAGAAGAGGGAGAGGAAGAGGAAGAGGAAGGAGTAGAAGAAGAAGAAGAAAAAAAATAATAAAAAGAGGAAGAGGACGAGGAAGAAGATCCAATGGAGGAGGACGGCAACTGGCAGAGAGAGTTCCTCGAGTCGAGGCCCATTCGCAGCGACCTCAAGTACTTCTTTTGGGCCGTGTACGTCACAGCTGAATTAGCTTATCTTCACGTCAAGACCAGCGGCAACGGTGTCTATGCACGAATCGGCGGAATTTTATTTGCAGCGCACGTGACGGAAAAATATCTCATCGCGGAGTTGTGGGTCGTTATCAAGGGCAAACTCACTAAATGTTTGTTGAAGGGGGATAAATTAATGCCCATGAAGATGCCCATCCAAAACAAGAAGTTGTTGGCATTAAACAAGACTGGTTGCATGGTAAATGCTCTC